CAGGGTGTCCACTCACCTGCTTGGTGACTTCTGAGATGTGGTCACGGCCTCTGCGCCCCGCCACCCCTGGAGCCCGCAGCGGGAAAGGCCTGTGGAGGATGAGCTGGGCGTGAAAAGTCAGGCCCGGACTTTCTGGCTATTTGGGCGTCACGTGAATTTACAGGTGGAACTTCTTTTTCCCTCTTCCTTCCTCCTTTTTGAACCCAGGGCCTGAACCCTTTTATTTATTTATTTATTTATTTATTTATTTATTCTTATTATTGTTTTGAGTCAGGGTCTTGTATATTGTTCAGGCCGCTCTGGAACTTGCTATCTGCCTGCCTCAGCCTCTTTCAGTGCTGTGCATACAGGTGACCTTCTGGCCGTGGGATCCCAGGCTCTCCCTTCCCTGTCACCTGGAGAGCACACTGGAGGCCACTGTGGGACGCAGACCACCAGGTTGGAGACTACGGCCAGGAGCAGTCTGGGCGGTTCCCGGTGCCCGGTGCCAGCCCCCCCCCCGCCGCTGTGCAGGTGGGCGGGTTGCCCAGGTGTGCGTGAGCTGGTGTCGCCCGGTGCCTGTGGCCCGGGTTGGCCGAGAGTTTAAAGGTCAGGGCCGAGGGTGCTGACTAAGCCCCCACCATGCGAGAAGGCACAGTCCCCTTAAAGGGTGTCTTGAATTTCCCTGATTTAAAGGCCAGCTGTAAAAAGCATCTCTCAATTTTACCTTCTTCATAAAGACCTCGAAAAAGAGTACATAAATTAGATTGGAGAATGTGGTCCTTTTCCTCTCTGGAGTTAGGAAAAGTTTGTTAGGGTGTGAGCTTGAAGCTCCCCTCCGCTGGTCTAAATGCAGGATTTTAATCTGGGAAGTGGTGAAACTTATTAACATTTGTCCATTTGCCTGTGTGTTTTAAAGTTTGGAACTCTTAGAATCCAGGAGCAAAAGTCACTGTATGAATGAAAGAGTGTGCGCAGGTGATTCATCGCCCTGTGATTCAGATGGTTTCTGCCGGAACCGCCCCAGTACTGGGTTCAGTCTTGTTGGCTGTGTACGGGGCTGGGGACAGAGCAGTGCTGGAGTACAGGGTGAGCTTCACTTTAGCAGAAAAGGAAGATCCGGTTATTTGTTAACCAGACCTATTGAATATTGCACCTTGGTTATTTTTCTTTCCTTCCTGCATACTTTTACTCGTTTGCAAGGTAACCTTCCCTCACGGGGTTGTATTAAATGAAGCAAATTTCAGGCTGCCTGGCTTTCCTCCCAAAGTGACACGGTCTTGATTTCTCATCCCTTTCCTCGGTGCTGAAAGGCAGA